GAAGTCATCACATGCCGACCGAGAGACAAAAGGTGTCTTGTGTTTCTGAAGATTGTAAGTCGTGAAAGTGAAGCTCATATCCGGCCACGGACACTGATACATGGTAATTTAGGGGCGGTGGGGTAGCCTAGTGGTTAAAGTGTTCGCTCGTCACGCCGAAGACCCGGGTTTTATTCACACATGGGTACAATGTGACATTACCGGAATATTGCTAAAAGCGGCGTAAAACTAAACTCACTCAACCACACAAACTAAATATACTTTGCAAGAGACTATTTTCAGTGCAGTGAAACATCCAGATCTGTTTCTGCTTAAGTGTAAGCGCACTAATGCGTATGTGGGCGCGCGTATGTGTGTGTGTGTGTGTGTGTGTGTGTGTGTGTGTGTGTGTATGTGTGTGTTTTCAGTCACAAACATACAGGCTTTCAGTTAAAGTTCTTACGTGATGCAATCTCGGTTAATGTTTTGTCGTCAATATTGCATGTCGTGTGTGTTAATACCATCAAACACATGGCCGCGATGAAAGAGACGCCAAAGCTTCCAGAACAGAATTGCTTCTTGCAAGCAACAGATACAGCAAAGAAAATTACATTTAATGTAGTTTGCGGTATAATCGTTAAATTGCCCGGCACAGGAGGCTACTGGAACCAAAAATATAGTGGCAACCTATGAACAAAACACCTTTAATGGAGCTATATCGGATCTCTCTGCGTGATGTCAGACACCGGACCAAAGGGCCTCTAAAGCAAATTGTAATATCTGAGTGATTTAGCAGGAACGCCGTGGTCCGCTGTAGAATCCTAACAATGTACGTGACTAGGCTGGTTTGGCTTCACGCCGTTTTTAGCAATATTCCAACGATATGTTGGCGGGAGCAGCATGAACTGGTCAAGAATTGATCAAGAACTATCCTCGACTTGGAAATGTGTCTGTAGGGTCAGTTTATTACCAGTCTGCAACCTCGTCATAAAATACAACCGACTTGAAAGCAGGTTCTCGTCATTCTGTAGATTATAATCTGAAGACATGCTGACATGATTCTGATAACGTTGCCTGCTCTCTGCTTAACTGTTCTTGTCAATGCCATGTCTGTGGATCGTCAGAGAAAAAATAACCTGGAAATTTCCAATTAAGCTTCGATTTCCGCTCATCTGAATAATGGTCCAACAGGGTGGTAATTTAGTGCAGTTCTCAGAAGGAACTTACAAAGAATGCTGAAGTGCATGAATAAAACTGTGCTTTTAAATTTGTCAAATGGCGACCATTGCAAATCAGTAACGGTTACGTGTGTTGATAACTGGCATTCTCATTGATTGGAATCTACCAATGATACCTCTCTTCATACTATTTTATTATAGTTGCGTATAAGCTCATTTGGCCGTACTACATACTTAAAATAGATTTGATTTGCACATCGACGATCGTGCAATCTAACATCAACAAGAAGTTTGTCAACAAATTATTTAAAACGTGACTTGATCAATGTCATTAAGATGTGATTGCAACATGATTTATTTGAAATGACGGGGAAAGATTTGATCAAAACTTTTAAGCATGCATTCTAACATTCTTTGACATGACACGTCAGTGACAACCAACGATGAGTAGATTATTCAAGTGGTGAATCAGCATTAATTGTGTTTGCAGTCAACGGGCATTGTTGAATGGCAGGATCGCTGTCCTGGTGAATAAATGTATTAAGTTTCGAGCTTTGATGAACTTTCAGCATTAATTCACGATTGACAGATCATCTGAATTACTCGTTGCGAAAACGTCATTCTTGAGTAACCTTTAGTTTCGCCTGAAGTAACGTGGAAAGGAATCTGTCAGTTATTCAAATCCTGGCGCCCACAATAATTCGCTTGTGGCATTGTTAACAATGACTGACGTTTTCTTCAATCATTTGAGTTTGTTTGTTGTTTAACGCCGCACTCAGCAATAATCCAGCTATATGGCGGACCAGACAACCCAGTGATCAACAGCATGACCGACGATCTATGCAGTTGGGATACGATGACATGTGTCAACCCAGTCAGCGAGCCTGACCACCCGATCTCGTTAGTCGCCTCTTACGACAAGCATGGGTTACAGAAGACCACTTCTAACACGGATCTTCACGGGTTCAATCATTTGAGACACTTTGGGTTTCGCAGATGAAACAATGGATTTATTGCGAGCTTATGAAACGTTAGCTTATGAAACATAAATTCTTCACCTATATTCATTTTCCATTTTACATCATCAAATCATGTAGGATTTCATCAACTTATTGCAACTTGCTAACATCTGTTCATCATTCACAGGCCACCAGCCTCCCTGTAGGCCAACCATCTGTTCACATCATTTTCCATCCATTTCCTGTTGGATTTCATCAACATATTGCAACTTGCTAACATGAAATCTGTTCACATCATTCCACACCCAGGCCAACCACCCTCCCTGTAGGATTTCATCAACTTATTGCAACTTGCTAACATGAAATCTGTTCACATCATTCCACACCTCAGGCCAACCAACTTGCTAACATGAAATTCTGTTCCTACCTGTAGGATTTCATCAACTTATTGCAACTTGCTACACATGAAATCTGTTCACATCATTTCACACATGAAATCTGCCAATTCCAGCCTACCTGTAGGATTTCATCAACTTATTGCAACTTGCTAACATGAAATCTGTTCACATCATTTCCACTCCCAGGCCAACCAGCCTACCTGTAGGATTTCATCAACTTATTGCAACTTGCTAACATGAAATCTGTTCACATCATTCCACACCCAGGCCAACCACCCTCCCTGTAGGGTTTCATCAACTTATTGCAATTTGCTAACATGAAATCTGTTCACATCATTCCACACCCAGGCCAACCAGCCTCCCTGTAGAAGGTTTCATCAACTTATTGCAACTTGCTGACATGAAATCTGTTCACATATTTCCACTCCAAGTCTAACCAACCTCCCTGTAGAATTTAATCAATTTATTGTTACTTGCTAACATGAAATCACCTTGCATCTTTCCACACCCAGGCCAACCAGCCTCCCTGTAGGATTTCATCAATGCATTATCCTCCTATTTGGTCCCTGGGTGATTTCATCGTATTGTAACTTGACGACAAGAGGCACCTTCCAACATTCATATATATATTCCGTTTAAAATACTGTTTTGATTTTAGAATATCTGTCCGTCCAACACCAGAAGTAAATACACCAGAATGTAGCGTTCAGTAGGATCACGAGGAAGGGCAACACGGCTCATCGATATTCCGATCAATTTCTACTATTTTCATGCCGAGCTAAATATATCTCACCACATTAGCGAGAACATCTACTCCTTCCAAGTTCCGGTATCGGTGTTCCGAGCAGATATACACACATGAAATATGCAACATAATCATATGTTACTGTTATTGTTTGTGTAACAATATGACGGCGGTCTGTGAATAATTAAGTTGGGCCAGACAATCCACTGATTGATATTGTGAAAAAACCGCGAGATATCATGCTGCAGTTAACATGCATGTCCCACTCAGACTTAGTATACTGACTCCGAGAAGAAAACCCCCATAATGCTGAAATCCGGGCAGGGAAACAACAAGTGACATTTTGACGTCATTTCCTGGTCAGGCGCGAGATCCACTAGACCAACGACGTAAGTGAGTGAGTGAGTATGATTTTACGCCGCTTTTAGCAATATTCCAGCACTATCACGCGGGGACACCAGAAATGGACTTCACACACTGTGCCCATGTGGGAATCGAACCCGGGTCTTCAGCGTGACGAGCGGACACTTTAACCATCAGGCTACCCCACCGCCCCACCAAGGACGCGAGGCCAAGGTTACACTTTAGAGAGGTGTTCGACTTTACACAATGGACACATTATTATTATGTATATCACACTGATAATCATTCTTTACTACACGGCCCAGTGTTTGGAAACCCTCTGACTCTCCCACTTGAACTACACATCACAGGAGCCTTATACATTTGGTTATCGCTCTATCAATAATCCATGGAGGGTCGGTGCTCATACTATTGACCACTGGTTTCCTAAACGTATATGAGCTCACTGAACACCTGTGTCAAACACAGCCACATAACGACTGGTCGAGAAGTAGATTTTGTGGACTTATCGTTATATCTTATCTCTTGATAGAGCAACACACGTAAGTATATGTGTCAATCTATTCGATGTTATCCGCTTGCCTTTAGTCACGTGACGAGACTACACCTCAACCACGCCACAACGTAGGTTTACATTTCCCGGCAACACCCGTGTTCATTGCGCGTACATGTCAACATGCACGGTGTGCATTTCACTATTGTACATTTCACTGCAGTGCTGTATACCCTGAAGCATGTGTTGCATCGTGCTATTTTCCACAGACCTTTTATGTTAATATTGGGCTGACGAGCGAATGACATAGTGTCATTCTGGAGTTCTTTGTCCGTCTCACGTAAGCCAGACTGTATCACAGAAGCCCATAACGGTCTTGCGTTATCTGTCGAGCATGAACTGACGACCAGCGTGTGTTCACGAGTGCACGTACGATAATATTAATTCATAATATACCCCGTCTTCATACATTTTTAGAAATACATTATACATTTATCTTAGTTAAACCAGTCAGATATACATATAACATGCCGAGTCTGTAAATATATCTCATAACTTGATAAAGGTAGAACTGTGATACAGGTAGAATTATGTTTACAATCTAAATAAACATCCTGAAAAATATTAATCAATATGCAGATCAGAAATGGGAACGGTTTTTGCGGTATTTCAAAGAGGAAAATGGACACAAGTATAAAACACTTACACCTCTCAAATAACACAGGGGTAGCTCAGGTACAGCTTCATCCATCAACCACCATTACCTATGCATGGGTCTCATCAGCCACTGAAGGCGTGTTTCCTCGCCGGGTATTTTAGAACGTTCTTCTTACATATGCAGACGGTGTGATTATATGTAGGTAGAATGTGTGAGACTGTACTTACAGTTGAAGGCATATTCCGAGAATTCACTTCCATCCACGGCTAAAAGAACGAGAGGTTCAGAGGAAGCCATCTTGCCGAGGCGCCGGTCACTGGTTAGAGTGATCGCCCTGATCGATACAGTTGAACGCGCTGTTGGCGGATGGCAGCGACGTAGAGGAGGAGGAGGAGGAGAGGGATGGGGAGGAGGGGTTGCTGGGTGGCGTACGGTGACGATGGGAATTACGTTTCGGTTGTTATGGGAATAGGGAATTTTTATGGTGGGATAAACGACAAACTGTTTGCGTTGTGGCCAAGATAAACGTGGGGTCTGTCTTTTATCAAGGTTGTCAGGGTGACGTTTTTAGCGGAACAAATGTTGCATTGAAACATGCATGGCTGCTATCTGTGTATGGACTATGTGGAGCAGCCGGTGAAGGTTCCACAGGCCATTACACCTGTCAATAACTTATTTATGCATAGTGCAGTGCACTGCCTTAGTGCATAAATAGATCCTGTATTATAGATTGTCCTACTTAAATATACTGTACAGTTCCATGCCGTCCTACACAATATACTGTACAGTTCCATGCCGTCCTACACAATATACTGTACAGTTCCATGCCGTCCTACACAATATACTGTACAGTTCCATGCCGTCCTACACAATATACTGTACAGTTCCATGCCGTCCTACACAATATACTGTACAGTTCCATGCCGTCCCACACAAATATACTGTACAGTTCCATGCCGTCCTACACAATATACTGTACAGTTCCATGCCGTCCTACACAATATACTGTACAGTTCCATGCCGTCCTACACAATATACTGTACAGTTCCATGCCGTCCTACACAATATACTGTACAGTTCCATGCCGTCCTACACAATATACTGTACAGTTCCATGCCGTCCTACACAATATACTGTACAGTTCCATGCCGTCCATATACAGTACAGTTCCATGCTGTCCTACACAATATACTGTACAGTTCCATGCCGTCCTACACAATAAACTGTACAGTTCCATGCCGTCCTACACAGTATACTGTCCAGTTCCATGCCGTCCTACACAGTATACTGTACAGTTCCATGCCGTCCTACACAATATACTGTACAGTTCCATGCCGTCCTACACAATATACTGTACATTGTCGGACTATATTAACCTACACCAATAGATAGTCTAGTACAATGTCGGACGACATTAATACCTGGTACAGTACAATGTCGGACGACATTAATACCTGGTACAGTACAATGTCGGACGACATTAATACCTGGTACAGTACAATGTCGGACGACATTAATACCTAGTACAGTACAATGTCGGACGACATTAATACCTTAATACCTGGTACAGTACAATGTCGGACGACATTAATACCTAGTAAAGTACAATGTCGGACGACATTAATACCTAGTAAAGTACAATGTCGGACGACATTAATACCTGGTACAGTAGAATGTCGGACGACATTAATACCTAGTACAGTACAATGTCGGACGACATTAATACCTAGTAAAGTACAATGTCGGACGACATTAATACCTGGTACAGTACAATGTCGGACGACATTAATACCTGGTACAGTACAATGTCGGACGACATTAATACCTAGTACAGTACAATGTCGGACGACATTAATACCTGTTCTAAGATGCCTAGCGGTTAGAACAATCGAAAAAAAAATACATTATCAGACAATAAAGGTATAGTTTTTTGATGACGTAACAATTGAATGACGTTATCCCGTCACTGCGCCATTCTAGTGTGCCCCCTCGTAATCGAACCATTTTACATTACGTCACAATGTAAGCGACGTCACGATGCATGTCAGTTGTCATCGCCTCGTACGGCCTCCTACAGTAAACTACACCGTTGCATCCAGTTTCTTGGTTTGCTGTTGCTTCACGCAGCTAACATCACTGGTGGAAACATTACGTTTATGTTTTACGATGGTTAAAATATGTCATTTCGACTCACAAGTTTTCAGCGACACGGTAACGTTCGTAATGTTTACATTCCCACAATGCAATTATGGAATGTCGCTTGACTACTCAACTTCCTCTGGATGTACTGATCTAAACTTACGCTGGTAGTAGAAATGCGACGTTCATATTGCCCCATATGGTTTACGTTAATGACAGATGTAATTAAAATAATTCAGAGAAGATATTTAATCTGAACGTAAACCGTCATCAAACTGTTATCATTTGGGTTTTTTCTGGTAACGTTCGTCTTAACGTAGTGGGGCAGACACATCAATAGAACAGCGCGCCAGTTAGCCCTGTGCGAGGATTCTTAATTTAGGCCACCGACACCGTCGTTTGTTTTCTGCCTTAAACTAATCGTAATTATCTTTAGAAAGTATTAAATTTGGCATCTTAGAAAAGAAATACACTTCGCTCTACCACCATGTATAGTGTAATAAAACACACTTTCGCCCTGAACTATTATAACGTTAAAGCACTCGGACGCAAGCGTCCTCGTTCTTTAACTATAATAGTTCAGGGCAAAAGTGTGTTTTATTACACTATACATGGTGGTAGAGCGAAGTGTATTTCTTCAGTACAGTACAATGTCGGACGACATTAATACCTAGTACAGTACAATGTCGGACGACATTAATGCCTGTCTACATAGATACACGTTAGAGATTGTTTGTTGTTTAACAAACAAACACAGCAATATTCCAGCTATATGGCAACGGTCTTTAAAAAATCGAGTCTGGACCAGACGATCCAGTGATCAACATCATGAGAGTACACTGTCGGACTTCATCGATACATGATTTAGTACAATGTCGGACTTCATCATGGTGTATGCATACGTTATCGTAGTTTTAAATGTATAATTCAGTATCCTGGTACATTTATACATATGCCAGTAAAATTCATTATTGTATTCTCGCATAGTCAAGTATAACGAGAATGTTGCTCTCGTGACACGGGTTGAATAATATTACACACAAGCACACACGCGCATTTTCGTGAGTGTGAGTGTGTGGGTGAGTCGGATTTTATATACTCATTAAAGTCTGCGTCGAACGTTGAATAGACCGGTCCGACTCTAAATTCAGCGTGGAGCGAGATAGCGTCGCTTTCAGCACTGTTCATTCTTTATCACAGCGTAATCTTCATGTGGAAATGATCCCAATTTGAGACGTAAGTTGTGAACATTAACACTGTTGTGAAGTGCGAGAATGGTACCTCACGTCGAGAATGGTACTTCACGTCGAGAATGGCAACGGTGAACCCCAGAATGCTTTCAAATTCTGTGAATGTTTCCAACGACTGTTTGTCTGGAATTGTTCTGACATCTTGAGAACCCTCCTGTGTAGGTTAATTGATGGTCAATCGGACAGTCACGGCTAAACCGTCGTTGGCGTTCTGTAGCTAACAGCGTCTAGACCAGGAATATTACCGTTACTTAAGGTGGTTCAAGATCTGACTATCTGCGTGTTTGGGATGACATCGATCTCTGACCTGCGATTGTCCAGCTGAACGGAAGAGTAGGGGTTCCATGCGTGATAGCCTTTTGGGCAACGACAACATGAGGTCGCTCTGATCGTCGTTCTATTTGGGTATTTGTTGTACAACCCGTTCTCAACAATATTGTGTAAACGGTCGAATTTTTACCCCACGACCCGACTGTTGTAACTGACATCATGAGTACTGTTTTGTGTGTTTGTTTGTTGTTTAACAAACTAACAAACAAACACAGCAATGTTCCAGCTATGTGGCGACGGTCTATTAATAGTCGAGTCTGGACCAGACAATCCAGTGATCAACATCATGAGCATCATCGATCTACGCAATGGGTGACATGTGTCAACCAAGTCAGCGAGCTTGACCACCCGATCCCTTTAGTCGCCTCTTACGACGAGCATGGGTTGCTGAAGATCAATTACAACCCGGATTTTCACGAATATTGAAATATGCAATGAGGATACGATGCTTGTGTCAACCAAGTCAGCGAGCCTGACCACCTGATCCCGTTAGTCACCTCTTGCGACAAGCATGGTGTACTAAACACCGATTCTAACCTGTATATTCAGGGGTTGACTTGAGTTGTGACATTGATAACTACTTTTAGGCTACAGTGACCTCTAAGTGGTTATCTCCACCGAGTGAAGCAGATGTTCACTTTCCGGGCAACACACGCTCACAGTCGCACGTTCTCCGAATGTTTCCAGCACATATTCTCGTATTGCGATATAATCGTTATTTAAACATTTTACGTCACGAGTGAGTTCCGTTATTGCGTGACAGCTGCCCACGTAGACTAGTCCCTTGATGTTACGCATGCACAAATAATGCATAAAACCATATCAATTTAAATGGTTAATCAACCGTACAAATGCGTAATGGTGCACCGCAGGTATATTATTGACGATGAATATGTTTATGTAATCCATAATTGCTGGATGTGGGTTTCTGGAATATATACACCATGTATATCTGCACATACATACACGCATACATACATGCACATACGCACGCACGCAATCACTCACTTACACACCCTCTCTCTCTCACATACATACATACATACACACACAAATACACACACATACACACACACATACTCATACATACATACATACATACATACATACATACATACATACATACATACATACATACATACATACATACATACATACATACATACATACATACATACATACATACATACATACATACATACATACAATGGAAACCTGATAAGTAAAATGTCAAGGGACTCGCCAAAAATTGTTTACTTATCAGGTATTTTACTTATCCAAACTTATAAAAACCTGCAAATGACAACCATATGCATGTATATGTATGCATATGTAACAATGAACAACTTATCAGGGCTGGCCTCCAGTTGTCAGTGTATTGTCAACTGCGTGCTGCCAGCGAGCTGTAACTAGGATGTTTGTTTGACTGGAGACTGACACGACTGCCCCTCATGTCGGATTATGTGGTGATCGCTAATTTAGTTATCCAGTCTCTTTTGTTAAGTAATTTACTTCCAGGGACCGTGAGAAGACGTTTAGTTAAGCGGTATTGTTTACTTATCCGAGTTTAGTTAACCAGACTCTAATAGTGATAATTAATGAAGAAAGTTGCCGGGAACAAAGAAAAGTGTTTACTTATCAGGTCTGTTTTGTTAAGCGGTCTTTACCTAGGCGGTTTCCACTGTACATTGATCAAGTCATATATACTATTCCAAAAAAAGAAACGCATAACCCAGAAATCTGTTGCGAAAATGTTGTATTGTTAAACATGTATAACACGTCCACCAATAGATTTCAGTACATGA